CCCACCCACGCAGGGACAGGACTTTGCCTCATGGTCCAGTCTATCTCTCTAGCACTGAAAATATGTTTCTCAGTAAAACTGTTTACTGTCTGGTTAATTAAAAATATGATGAAAACAGTATATGGGTCTCTAAAGGGACTTAAGTAGCTTTAAAATAGCTCAATCACATGAATTCTGGTAGGATTTGTGATACACCAATTTAATGCACACATTTTATTGACTTCATTGGAATTAATAGTGGGGAGCAGTCGATTTTTATTGCTGTAATTAAGGATGATGTCAGGAAGAGAAATGTTTGGTGACTGAGACTTCATCTACCTGTCTGATAGTTTTTTTTATGTATCTAATAATAAGTCTGGAACACCATGTGTGTGTGAGCGTGTGTGTGTGTGTGTGTGTGTGTGTGTGTGTGTGTGTGTGTGTATGTGTGTGTGTGCCTATGAGTTTTGGCACATGCCTTTAATCCCATCACTTGGGAGGCAAATGCAAGGTGAACCTCTGAGTTCGAGGCCAGGCTAGGCTATAGATGAGTTCCAGGACAGTAGTATCATTGTACCATTTATCATCCAAATTGAGTCACTGCAATAAAAGTCACTATTACATTTTTTCCAAAAACTATATCAAGATTTTATCTTTATCATTTTTAGAAAATTCTATTGTTTATTTTAAAATTTAATTTATTACTCGTGTGTGTGTGTGTGTGTGTGTGTGTGTGTGTGTGTGTGTGTGTGTGTGTATAAAAGATGGCGGAGTGACGTGTGGAAGTCAGAAGTCAACCTTACGGCATCAGTTCTCTCTTCCACTTTGACATGGGACCAAACGCAGGCCATCAGGTTCACACAGTGAGTTCTTTACCCACTGACCCATGTCACCAACCCCTCAGTTCAAAATCTTACTATAGACAACTTCACACGTAGATTAAGGAAACAGCACAGGCCAAAGAGAAGGTTCTTTTCCCATCATCACTGCTTTATACAGCCAGCTGGAAGCTTCGTCTGATAACAAAAGGAACCAGGGCCTTCTTCATTGATCTGTAACACATCTGGCCTTAGAACTTCTAAACCAAGTTAATTACCATGATCAGCGAGAAGCTGGCCAGGAAGCCCAGTGCATTCTGAACCTGAATGACCCATAAACAGCCCTGGGTGCGACAATAAAGGTACAATATTGCATTCCTCGGTCTGACTCATGTCAGGCTGTCAGGGGAATCCAGACTGCATGTCCAGACTGCATTTAGTATCATTCTCTCAGCCTCACCCTCTCCCTTTGCCCTCATGGTGATTAAGCTGATGAGGTCTAATCCCCTGAACCTTAACACAATCCTTCAGATAATCCACAGCAAACGAGGGTGGGGGTGGCGGAGTTCCACCGCAGTCCCAGCACTTGGAAGGCTGAAGGAGGGGAACCACAAGTTTGAGGCCATTCTGAGTTACATGAAGCCTTGTTTTTGAAGGCTCGAATAAAGCTACATATACGCATGTGCGTGCACACGTGTGTGTACGCTAAAAATCGTTTGATCACCAGGGAGAAAACTTAGAAAATGAGACGGATTTAGAGAAAGGTTCTTCAAATGGCTCCTCTCATAACTATGACAAAGGTTCACTAAGAGCTTGGCATTTGCCAGGTGCTGACTGAAACACTGTCCATTACAAACTCATTTGCTTAGTCGTAGGGCCCCAGGAGGGAAGCGCATTACAGTCGGCTGCATTTAATAAAAGGACAGCATAGAATAGCACTGTGCTTGCCTAAGGCCACAAAGCTAAGGAGAGTGGAACCCAGGTTCAAGCGCCACCAGCAGAGATTGCAAAGTTGGTTGCTCTCGGTCATTCCCAGAGGACTGGGAAAAACTGAGCCGGCTAGGAACTGCCGGGCTTGCCTGAGGACCATGAGCATAGTGTGCATTGCTTACGGCTCCCCCATCTTCCAGGGTACCTTGTAGACTCTCTCAGGTGAAATCCTGTTGAGAGGCCCTCACTGAGTTAAGACTCCGTTCCAATGAAGACCCAGAGCCTCAGCCAACACAGAATGTGAGCAGGGACACACTGTCTCTAGGTGACCTTGAACTTCTGATCTGCCTACCATCCACCTCCTGAGTGCTGCCATGACAAGCGTGCATCACTATGTCAGGCCTAGGCTATGCTGAGGCTGGAGCCCAGGGCCCTGTGCATGCTGCTAGGCAAGCACTCTATCAGCTGAACTGCACCTCCAGCTCTCCTGGTTTTTAAAAATGCTTTACAGACACACTCTGGCACCTGGGTATCTCAGGTCAAGGCTCCCTGAGTCCTCAATCCCTGCTAAACGTGAAGGCAAAAATGGGACCATTTTTGCCCCTTAAATGGCCTCCCACGTCAATGCTTTGTAAAATGAAATAATATGACTAAACAGAATATGGCAAGAGCCCTGGCAGAGGGGAGGAAATAGAAACCGGAGATAAATAAGAAAACAGCACTGTGAGCTTCATTATGATAACGGATCCTTCTGTAGGCCACCCAGTCACAAGGGACAGACACGTGTTCTGTCAACTCCCTCTTCTGCCCAGGCTTAGTCTGCTCTGCTTTTTGACCCTCAGTGACTCACTGTGTCCAAGAATTTCGATGCTGGGCAGATGTCCTTTGCTAGCACCCCGGCGGAACCTAGGTTCCAGGACAGGAGGGAAAAATCCATTTTTACCATGGTGAACTTACCATATGGTGGACCTACTTTTATCTTGGTGAATCCACTTTTACCACGGTGGACCCACTTTTACCAGAGTGGACCCACTTTTACCAAGGTGGACCCACTTTTACCACAGTGGACCCACTTTTACCATGGTGAGCCGCCTGCAACTCACTACAAACGATCACTTTTGTGGCTGGGATTCAAGCTAGAGAACTCATCTGAGATCCTAGGAGTCACTGCAGCCATTCCATGGCCAAAGATGAGGTCTCAGGCCCAGCAGACATGAGCAGGAGGAGACCCAAACCGGGCTGAGCCAGCTTCCTCAGCACGTGTGAGGCCGTGTGCATAACCACCAACCAGCTCTATTTAAAGGGAAGAGCCAGAAAACCGAAGCTCAGAACCAAGTGTGTGCACCCACACACACACACACATGCCTGCACCCACACTCGTGAACACAACTCTCTCAACTGGCAGCAAATCTATTTATAAATTCATTGTTTTTAAGAATTTCTTAATTGACAGTTCTGTGCATCCTTATGGCATACACCTGCCACATGATGCTTTGGTACCCGTGTGTTAGTGAGATGGCTACATCAAACTGGGTAACATCCTTATCTGATGACAAATTCAAAGCTCATCTCTCAAAGGCTAAACCGTTTCAGGAGAAGAGTCGGGACCATGGGGGAGGCTGTTCCTCAGTAAAAATCCGTTGCTACCAAAGCCTGGGATTCTCTTTGTCAAGATGGAACAGAATACAGAGGACTAAACAAGCCTTGAGATGAAACTTTATTGAGGTAACGTGACAATTGGGTAAAAAACACAAGAGCCCTGGAATCTCTCCCCTCCTCTCTGCTGTCCCATGGCTAGGGGTGCTTTCTAAGGTCTGGGGTCCAACGCAGTTCCAAGAGTCTGTTCTGCCCACACTCTGGGCTGTCCCATACCTTCAGAATGAGAAGTGGGCTTCTGGAGAATCTGACAGATTCTTTAGAGTGACTTTTTGGTTCAGCACCGAGCAGCCTTCAAAGGATGCTATTTGCTCACACTGCTGTTTTTGTTTGTTTGGGACAAGGCCTCATTATGTAGCTCAGCCTGGCTTATGCACTTACAGCAATCCACCTGCCTCAGCCTCCTGCCGGGATAACAGCCATGAGCCTCCATACCCCAGCTTGCTCCCACTCCTTGAGTTGGCTCCTGATTTCCTTGTCACAATCCTGAAATGTGTTGGACAAAATCTGGCACAGCTTCGAGGACAACTGCCTTCCTCTGGCTATGCGCTCTTTCCATTTCTTCCGTCGCCTCCCTTGCAGCCCCTCTGAGCCTGGGCGGTGTGTCCCTGGCTGCCCCACCGGAGTGGCATTTTAAGTCATCGGTGTTCTATTCTTAGTCAAGCACGTGCCACCGCATGTGCAGCCTCAGGCTCACAGAATTTTAGAACCGGGCCTAGCGGCGTGGACGGAGAGGGCGAGTGGAGAACAGTGAGTCTTGACGAAGGCCCGTGGAATGCCAGGCACTGTTCGCACTCACCTTCTTCTCATCAGCTACCAGCTCTTAGCAAACGAAATCAGCAGAACGCCGAAAGGCTAAATGCCACGGCTGAGGCCACACTACGAGCACATCCTCCATTCTAATTTGACTTCAAAGGTTACCTTCTTCCAAGAGGCTTCCAAGCCTTGGAAGAAGAGAGGGCCTATAACAGGTCCATAAAGCTCCGCATGTCCCCACCCACTTCCCGAGCTGAAAGAGGTCAGAGGCCGCAGTCTCCACCTCTTTGTCCCTTTCTGGCTTGGTGACTCACCACCTCTGCTCTTCAAAGTTAGGACTCCACATTCCGTCACCTGCGTCCTGAGCTACAGGTCCGTCCTCCTGGGCATACCAGAGCTGAGAACTCCACAGCTGGGCTACCTTCCTCTCCCCCCGCGCCCCCCATTCACCCCCATGGGATTCCAGACCTTTCCAGCCCCAGAACCCTGCTAGCCGTCACAATAGGCCCTCTCACATCACCTCACACCTATCAACCATCAAACACAACCCACCCTCCAGCTGGCTCCCTGTATCCCGCCTCTTGGGGCAGCTTACCCAATAGTGTCTTCGCCCCCTGGCCAAAGACATCAAAAGTAACCAATTGTAGAAGAAATGTCTGCTAAGACTCGCCGCCTCCACCCTGAGGAACAGCCCCACAGACCAATGGGCTGCCAACCAGGCGCAATGAGCGGGCCGAGCAAATAGAGTGGCGGGCGGGCTATCCAATAAGCAGTGGGGTACCCTTGGTTGGGGGCGTGGCAGAGGCGGTCGTCAGGGGCGTGGCGGCAGTTGCCTGGGCGGGGCCGGTAGCGGCGGGAGCTGCGCTGGCCAGGGGTTCCGGCTGTATTTCTATGAGCGCTGCCGGCAGCCGCGGAGCTGCGGGAACCGGAATCCGGGCGAGCTGGACCGCTGGAGTCAACGAGCGCAGGTAAAGCCTCGGCTGGGCGAGCTCCACCAAGCCGCCATCGCTCTCTGGAGGCGTCGGGCGAGAACCCCGAGTCCCCGGTCCCCAGCGTGGCTCGGCCCATCGCGCCGCAGCCTGTGTGCTCCGGATCCGTGGGGACTATTGGGGGGACTGTCACCTGGCACTGCGGGGTCCGAGGACTAGTTTGTCTAGTGGCGGGGCAGCCCAAACCACGGGTGGGATACGCCTTCCTGAAGGTCCTTTGTCCTCTCCTGCTCGAAGAACCGAGGTTGGGGACAAGGCCGACAGAGGCCTCCTGGCTGCCATTCCCTGTTCCCCATCGATGCTCACTCTTGGGGGCCTGGGGAGGTATCCCGCCGGGCCGGACTCGGGGAAGAGGGTTGCAGGATGCTGGAAACCCCGAAAGGGCCCGACTATAAGCCCGGGATATTCGATGGGCCTCTGCGTTTTGGGATCCCGGTGCTCACCTATGACTGATGGGTTCAAGTTCTAGGGAAGCAATTTTTGACCTACTTGGAGGCGTACTTTATTGAGCTTGTGGGGCAACTGTTCTAGGTTTTTCTTGGGCTTTCCCCACAGCAAGATCTGTCCAGCAGCGCCCTGGGCTGCCTGCCAGGCTAGGCAGCCAGAGCATCGACCTTGGAAGTGCCTAGGCAGAGGCCAGATGACAGCCACCTGTCTGGGATGCTTAGGAAGGGAAGGATTGTATGATTCATCTGTAAGGCCCTTCTCCATCCGCCAGTGCACTCTGGGCAACATTTAATGACTAGATGGAGAGGGATACTTACCAGACAGAGTCCACTCGATTCCAAGGGGGTGTTGAATTCACCCATAATGATTTTTGAGGTTTTAACTCTTCATGTGCATGCCTGTATGCAAATGGAATAGATTACACCAAAAGATGAATTAATCAAGTGGTTTATTTCAGTGTCCAGTTGGGGGTTACTCTTTCTGGTTCCTCTCCTTGGTGCCTCCGCCCCCAGCTTGTCAGTTTTACCTGGCCTAAAGGCAGGTTCTGAGAACAGGCTCAGGAGAGATTGCAGATTTGGCAGGCTCCACTCGATCTGTGCCCAGAGCTTTTCAACGGCTGTTCGGTTACAACCACATTAAGCAGAGTGCGTCCCCGCTCCTCACTGCGCTCTCTCATTTGCCTGACGAGAAGGGACATAATCTTCTGAAGGTCAGGAAGCAGGAGAAATAATTTGTAACACACCTTGCCCACATGAGGCCAAATGAAGCTTCCAGCCAGCCGGAGAGCAGGCCAGTCCGTGCTGAGGATGGTCAGCACGAACTTAGGGTATTCTCAAGCTAAAATGCCGAAGCTTGTCTAATCCATTCCCCTTGTTGTACAGAAGAAGAAACTGAAGGCCTGGGATGGTCACCAGGCTGGCTGGCCATCACAGGGTCATGACTAAGAGTTAACCTCTTGACCCTACATCTAGCCAAGACATGACTTACATTTTACTCCCAGCCTAGTTCTCATTCTTAAGTTCTAGGGGAGCCCAGAGAGGTTAGAAGCACAGACTTCAGCATCTCAGTGCCTGGGTTTGAATCTTAGTCCTGCTTCTTTTTAGCTATGTCATTTGGGGCAAGTTATCCAACCTCTCTGTGCCTGTTGCCTCACCAGTAAGGCCAGGAATGCTGTTGGCACTTTGGTTAAAAGACTGGAGAAGCATGCACTTTGGGGAACATTAGAACAGTGCCTGGTACATGGCAATCATAATAGATTCGCTGACCAGCATGTTGTTGCCTTTCTCTGTAGCTTTCCTTCGTATCCACCACCCGGTATTTTTCATCCTTAAACAGAGTCTGTATTCTAACACAGGTTTCTTAGTTGCATCACATTTTTTTTTCCTGTTTTCCTGGTATCGAATTGGATAATATAGTTCCTCTGTTAGTTCCCACCTTGTAATAGCACTCTTCTCAGACACTGGTATTTCTGTCATTTTTAAAGGGAGTAAAAGTGAATCTCTCTAAGTGGTAGACAAGAGTCCCCGGGATCCCGATCTGCACGGTGTCCTCCCAAACTCCCGTTCTCTCCGCCCAGGCTCCCTCCCCAGTTGTCAGTGTGATTCAGCTTGATTATAAATGGATGAACGTTTTTAGATTAAGATTTCATGAGCCACTGAATTAAGTGCTTTGGGGAAGTTCAGGGATCATGTATCGAGTGCATTTAAGCAAGCTCCTTAGTCATTTGAGTAGGGGGAGCAGCAGCAGCAGCAGCCTGGCAGCGGCAGCAGCCTGGCGGAGACACAAGTGCATGACAGATCCTTGCTGGCCACCTACTTGTTCATTCCTCTGCCTGCATCCCCCCCCCGCTTTTTTTTTTTTACAGAGCTTGAAACAAGCCAGATGGCAGTGCGGTGCAGTGGTCTTTCTCCCCTCATTCTATCAGGAGAAGTTCTCATTCACTCCTTTTAACTTCCCCTTTCAGTCACACTACCTCTCTGATGCGTTTTGAAGTCCACTAGGTTCCAAGGGAATCTCAAATTCAACCGTATTGAAGTGCCCTCTGTGTGTGGGGGCCGGTTTTCTGTAAATGAGAAGATGCCTGCCACTTTTGTTTCTTTATTTTTTTTTTTGGTTTTTGCGGAAGCCCCACGCCCTGTGGTTTTCCCTTCTCTCGGCGTCACCAAGGTTGGTGACTCTTCATTGATGGCCCCTGGAATTAGGATCCTGAGTTCGGGGCCTTTGCCTTGTTTCTTCACCCCTCGGCCATTTTGGACTAATGGCTCTCTTTTCGTCACTGCCTTGCTCTTTCTCCCTGACATTCTAGCAGAAGGGCGACTTCCTGGCCACTGTCATCCCTCCTTCCCGAATTCACACCTTTCCCCCGGCCCTCTCTGACAGAGCCTGTACAGAACAGAGGTTCCACCACTTAGCCCACAGCGCCTGCCCTAGAGGGTAGGTAGCGCAACCTCTGGCCCTGTGGCAGGCAGGGGAAATCACTCTTGTTTTCTTTCTCCTTTCCCCCCCCCCCTCTCTTAAAATCTGGTTCTGTGAAAACCCCTGGCAGATGGACATTTTCAGTATAATGGAATCCCATCTGGCAGAATTTCTGCCGGGACCACCGCCTACAGCATGTGGATTTTTATTGGCTGTAGGATTTGAACCCTCGTTGACCAGTTGAAGAGTAGATGACTCGGGCCATGAGGTGTTGTAAGCCTTTCTGTTTCATCTTGGCTATCCCAGGAACAGACACTGGAAGGGTGGGGAACCTCTTGATGTGGTGAATGTTAGGATTGTACAGCAGCCTTTCAGGGCCCAGCAGTCATTCTTCTGTCTCTGTCTCTGTTTGTCTGTCTGTCTGTCTGTCTCTCTCTCTGGTGGTGTTGTTTGAGGCAGGATCTACATAGACAATCCAGGCTTGACTTCTCATGGTCCTCCTGCCTCAACCTCCAGGGTCCTGGGATTCTAGGCATGGGGCCCCGATGCCCAGTGATTACAGCCATTTTAAGCCCCTGTGCTTCTGTTCAGCACTGATAACATGCAGGGGCTGGACTTATTTTCCATAAGAACTGGTTTTGTTTTTGTTTTGAGACAGGGCTTCCTGTAGCCCAGTCTGGCTTCAAACTCACGGTGCACCCAAGGATGACCTTGATCTTGATCTTCCCAAGTGCTGGGATCACAAGCATCACCAGCCACTACATGGTCGTCTTTTAAGGGTCGTGTTTCTATTTACATATTACTTTTTGCTATCTTGGTTCCAGGGCATCATGTATGGGAATTAAATCTTTTCAGTTTATAAAATGGCAGCAGTAGACTGCCGAAGAACCGCACTGTGACCCTGAAGTGTGTGCTCTGGGCCACTTATTACATACAGACCCATTCTCTGATCTTTCATAATCATCAGGCAATAGTCAGGTAAAGAGTTGATGAAAGAATCCGAACATTGGTAGCACAGATTTGCCTACTTTCTGGCTTTTCTCTTGTCTTTAAGTGGAGCCCAGGTTGGCCAGGAACTGGCTGAGGTGAAGGATGGCCTTGACTCCTCATCCCCTTGCTTGGATCTCAGGAGAGGCTGGGATCACAGGCCATTGCGTTAGTACGCCAGTTTGTTATATGGTGCTGAGGACAGAACCCAGGGCCAGCATTCTGTCAACTGGGCTACATCCCCAGCCAAGTGGAGGCTTGCTAGTTCACAGATTCTTCACCAGGTGTATGTTGAGAACACCTACAACCAGACCCACAAGTGTGTCTGCTTTATCACACAAAGCTATTTTGTTTCAAAATTGGTTCTATTTAAATTTTAAAAATGTAATGCTCTTTATTCAGATTTTGGTGGTTGTTTGTGTTTGTTTGGAGACAGGGTCTGTCTTTGCTCTGGCTGGCCTGGAACACAGAGATTTGACTGCTTCTGTCTCCTGAGTGCTGGGATTGAAGGTGTGAGTCACCTAGCTTGTTTTTTGATGACGTTGTTCATCTTAATTTTTTTAACTTAGTTGTGCACTTATTTACTGTTTGTATTTATGGACATGAGTGTGTACATGCCATGGTGTACATGTTGTGATTAGACAACTTTGGGAGTTGGTCCTCCTTCTATCCTAGGATCCAACACAGACTGTCATGTTTAGTGACAGACACCTTTATCTGCTGAACCACTTTTCTGACCACACTAAAAAACTTATTTGAAGAAAACATACATTGAAAAGTACAGCATATTGAATCTATATGAGAAATGCCACTCTTGGAAAATGCAGTTCTGGCTAGCTTTTTAAAAAACGGGTAATACAAAGCCGAGTGTGGTAGCTTATATCAGTTATCTCAGCCTTCGGGAGGTTGGGGAGGATTGCCATGAGGCCAGCATCAGCGTGGGCTACATGATGAGTCTAGGTCAGCCTGGTTTACAATGCAGCAGTCTTATCTCTGGGGGAAAAAATGGTTACACATTTATATGATGAGAGAGAATATTTGAAAAGTGCAAAGACTGGGAAGTAAATGCATCTCTGCCCCAATCCCTGCACTCATCACCTGCTTTATACCACACTCCCCACCCCAATCCC